GAATCCTGCCACAAGCTGTATCCCTGTTCACTGAGCTGTGGAACTAATGCTTCCCTTTGCATTTGGATTCCTGGGATACTTCTTGATGCTGATTTCCAATTCATAATTTCATACATCTATTTTCTCTGCATTTGAACAAAACTTATAATTTGTTTTTTGCATTTATAATTAAACAGTTGACTAGCTTAAGTCCAATGAAAATTTAATTGAGGCCAAATATTTGCTGCTTTTAGCATAGCTAATAATTTCCATCTTTGTCTCACTTGAATAATCATAAGTCTTAGCATTTTATTTTTCTGCTTTCCACTTGTTTTTATAAAGTAGGCTCAAACAAAATATTCACATCATTCCATAAACCAGCAGTTTTTTTTCAGGTAATAAGACAATCCAGACACAACAGAAACAATGATCGACAATAACTTTTTAGAAAGTGTCGAGTAGATTTTTTGTGTGTGTATGGAACAGATTTGTTGACAGATTCAACTTGATGTTTAAGATGAGTGCTTTCTCATTTTCATTCTACTTCTATTATGTTCAAGCTATCTGAAATATCTAGATTTAAGCCTTTCATGTCCCCAACATACAGATGAAAATATTTGGGGCAAACACAGTTTTGGTTCACTCTTTGTCATGTGCAAGAGGTCACATGAGAGAATAAGATAATTGGAAGTTATGTTTTTCTTCAAACAACCTTTTTTTGAAGTATTAAGACATTCAATGAGATTTCAAATATGACAACTTAAAAGTTTAAAAACAATCTAAGAAAAATAAATTGGAGACTACAGGACACAGCCTTATCAACACTCCACATGTATTCACTAGTGGTATGTTTTTAATTTGTATCAAAAGCTTTCATCATGAAAATAGAGCTATAATGAGAAATTACAAAATTAAAAAGAACAGAAGCTAAGAACTCACTTGAATTCTAACTCTGCCATTTGTTACTGTGTGATCTTGGGAAAGTTACTTAACTCAATATATCTCAGTTTCCTCCTAGGTAAAAGGGGGAAAATATCTTCTCATCACTGGCATTCAGAATTAGTTCTGAGATTTTTTTTAAAGGAGAAGATACTGGTGGTCAAAATATCACCTGCTAAACTTCTAAAGGCTAAAACTGAAGATGTGGCTAGTTGTATGGCAACAATAAGTTTCCTAATATGGAACACTAGTCAGATATCAGGTAGTGTCGAACCTGCTGGTCTCCCCATGCAGAGCCTGCCCCTATGAATCATGTGCTGTGGGAAGCAGGATATAATGCATGCTCTCTGTGGATCCCAAATTAAAAGGGCTTAGAAAGGCATTTAAATTTTTTTCTCCCTAGTATATCAAGAAGAAACGTCACTCCTCTTTCTCTGGGGAGGAGTAAGAGGGATTGGCAGAAAGTGGACAGGAGTATTATATTAGTGAAGCTTCTACAAGGAAACATTGGAGTGGGGGGAAAGTTTTACCCCTTAACATTACCTAGAGCAGGGGTCCTCAAACTTTTTAAACAGGGGGCCAGTTCACTGTCCCTCAGACCGTTGGAGGGCCGGACTATAGTTAAAAAAAAAAAAACTATGAACAAATTCCTATGCACACTGCACATATCTTATTTTGAAGTAAAAAAACAAAATGGGAACAAATACAATATTTGTATTTGCATGTGGCCCTTGGACCGTAGTTTGAAGACCCCTGACCTAGACTTTTGCTTTCTTAATCTATGGGCACTGACCATTTAGCCTGTACTCAACCAGGCTATGACTATTCTCTTGTAGGGAAGAGATCAGCAGACTATCAGGATAGTCCTATTCTCACTTTCATGAGGATATTCCCCCAATGCTATTTATGCTCCTCTGTGGGTCCTCCTAGTGTACTCCAGGTCAGTAGTGTTACTCTTGTCCTCAGAATGCTCTGAAATAGGCCAGATGAGTACATTTAGTAAATTAACTTGGAGACAACATTGTACCCTAGGCCAGTGATGGCGAACCTATGACACGCGTGTCAGAGGTGACACGCGAACTCATTTTTTTGGTTGATTTTTCTTTGTTAAATGGCATTTAAATATATAAAATAAATATCAAAAATATAAGTCTTTGTTTTACTATGGTTGCAAATATCAAAAAATTTCTATATGTGACACAGCACCAGAGTTAAGTTAGGGTTTTTCAAAATGCTGACACGCTGAGCTCAAAAGGTTCGCCATCACTGCCCTAGGCTGAAAATCAAGTTCTTATTTTATTTTCCAACCCAAATTATGTCTAGCCAATTTGCCTAATTACATATAAATTATGTGCTGAGAAGCAGGTACCAAAGAGGACCCAGACATGTACGAAGTTTATTGGGAGAGGGATAAGCATAAAGCAAAGAGAACCTTCAAACCATGGTCTGACATCTGTGCAAAAAGAGGAAGAAGGGAGTAGGACTGGATAGGAAGAATCTTAGACTGTAGTGCAGTTCCTAGAAAGGTTAAACCTGGCTGAGGGGGAGTCCTTGAGCCAGAGTCACTTAGAGGAGTTTTATGTCTCACTGGATTGGGCCTGCTCTAGTACCTAGCCACCTCCAGTCATTAGCTAGGAGCAGCTGGTGGAAAAGGTGGCCTCAGTGTGAACATGGTGCTAGATCCAGATGTTGTCTGTCAATTATGATCCCAAAGACAAATGTCTGAGCAGTGCATTTTATGGCTACAACATTTATAGAGTTCATCAAAGGTCCCACAATGTTATCAAATGACAAAGATACTACAATAAAAAAATATACTAACAATAAGATACTTAAGCCCTAGCTGGTTTGGCTCAGTAGATAGGGTGTCGGTCTGTGGACCAAAGAATCCCAGGTTCAATTCTGGTCAAGGGCACATATCTCAGTTGCAGGCTCCTCCCTGGCCCAGGCCCTGATCAGGGCTTGTGCAGGAGGCAAACAATCGATGTGTTTCTCTCACATCGATGTTTCTCTCTGTCTTTCCCTCTCCCTTTCACTCTCCCTAAAAAAATCAATGGAAAAATGTCCTTGGGTAAGGATTAACAAAAAACAAAACAAACAAACAGAGATACTTCACATTTCATGATAAAAAATTAGATCCTGGATTTTGGGTTAAATTCCTGGTCAGGGCACATACAAGAAGCAACCAAAGAATGCATAAATAAGTAGAACAAGAAATTGATGTTTCTCTCTAAAAATAAAAATAAATAAAAATAAATAAATAAATAAAAGGAGAGAAAGCTAATCCCTAGATCATAATGCAGTTACCACAGGAAAATTATGCTCCCAGATCATACCATTTGGTAACACCAAAGACTGTATCAAATGTATCAGAATTAAGGTGGAGATAATCTGAGTTTTTGTCTCACCAAGATTCATTAGTTCATATCACAAATAATTTTTTAATACCTGCTATGTTCCAGGAGGTATTCTATCAGTGAATTAAATAAACAAAAGTAGTCCTTACCTTCATGGAGCAAAACTGCACACTAACAGGTAAGATTTTCTTTAAATGGGATAAATAATAAAATATGTAAGATGTTAGTAGCATGATAAGGAGAAAAAAACAAATAAAAAGAAGTTCTGACATGTTGAGTGGATTCGAATTTTAGCTAGGATAATCAGGGAAGGCAGTTTTGAATCAAAACCTAGAGGGTGTTAAAGAGGTAGGAAGATATTTAGGAAGGGAACGATCATTTAGGGTAGAGGAAATGACAAATGCAAAGGCTAAAGGCAGGAGTGTTCCTAGAGTGTTTAACAAACAGCAAAGGAGGCTGTGTGGCTGGAGTAGAGCGAGCAAGGTGGGAAATAATAAGGGATGAGATCAGAGGGACACAGAGGGACATGCCATGTGGAGCCTTGTTAGCATTCACTCTGATGAGCTGGGAAGCCAATGGAGGGTTCAGAGAAGATTATCAACTGGAACTAAGATCACCTTGGATGCTGTGTTGAGAAGAGACTGAAAGGGGTCAAGTACAGAAGCAGGAAGATCTTTCAGAAAGCTATTGCAATGATCTAGGGAAGAGATGATTGTGGCTTGGACCAAGGCAATAGTAGTGAAAGGTTGTGTTTCTGTACATAGTTCGATGGTAGTCACTTCCAGTTTTGGAGTTGAGAAACTGTGAGCTTAAACTCAATTGGGAGAAATCGTCCATCAAAAAGTTAATCTTTCACTTCCAATCTGAGAGGAAGAGCCACCTCTGCATACAGTCTCCCTTCTGATGGAGTAGCATCTGTGACACTCCTGGCTTCTAAAAATGTTTAAAAATCTTCACATGATGGCAGCCCCGGTCAATAGGCTTTACTTGAAGGACCTTTCCTTTCTGTCTAACATCTCCAAAATGTCTCAATTTCCCTTTCCCATTGAGTCCCATGTTTCTGGCATCCTTTGCTGAAATGAGTGGGGCTCCATCTAGTTAATTAACCTTCAAGATATCTTATGAACAGTTCGTCAATTCTGAGCCACAGGGGTGTTCCCTTAACCTCTTGCCATGGCTAAGACACCTGTCTCCTAGGGATGACTTCTCCTGCTTCCTACAGTTGCTTCCACAGGATATATCACCCTCAGCAAAGACCCGAATTAAAGCTGCTTTTGAACCTGCGCCCCTGTGGGCCTGGTGAGTTTCTGTTACCTATGTATGTACTACTCAAGACCTCGTCTTTCACTTTTGATGTCATAGCCTTGAGTAGCACTTCTTTCAGCGACATCTTTTTCCACAGCAAGAGATTAGGCCTCTAGTGTTGTATTTCCTCCCTGTTCCACTGCTATTTTTCAGAAAGACTCATCTCAATATAGAACAGTTCAACATGTTTTTTAGATTGTTCCCTTTCTTTCTCTACCTATGGTAAAGCTAGTACTGGATTCAAGTATCAGCTTTCTTTTGCTTCTTCACACACTTTCTCTTTGTCACTCCTTTTGTCTCCAGCCGAGGCAGGCATTTTTCTTACCTACCCCCTCTAAGTTTTGCTTTGTGGGGTCTCCCATAGTGAGACATATGAAAACTATGCATTCTTATCTTTGCCAAAAGCAAAGAGATTCTCACCTTCATTTCTCAGAGCTGCATGATATTCCCAGGAGAGAGTCTCACAGTAGATCAGTATCCATCCCAGTCCTGGACTTGACTTACTGCCTTGCAGGGGCAGGATCTTTACCACTCTGCTGCTGGCCTCCCTGAGAGCAGACTAGCACACATGTGTTACCTGAAAGAGAATGGAGAAGGGGAAAGGAACATCAGTTATACTTGACCTTTACCATGTGCCCTGATCCTCATCCTAGACTCATCAAAGTTCCTTCTCACTGTCCTTGGAAGTAGTAAGTGTATACAGGCCAGAAAGATTACTCTAATGGATGTTCTCCTATATGAAAGGAAATACTGGAGTGGGGAGTGTTTCTCCATAAAAGTACATAGCCTGGCCAGTTTTTCTTAGTGGTTACAGTGTTGGCCTGTGGGCTGAAGGGTCATGGATTCAATTCCCAGTCAAGGGCACATACCTCGGTTGCAGATTCGATCTCGGCCCCAGTCAGGGCATGTGCGTGAGGCACTCTCTCTCTCTCTCTCTCTCTCTCTCTCTCTCTCTCTCTCTCTCTCTTTCTCTCCCCTCTCCTCTCTCCCTTCCACTCTCTCTAAAAATCAATGGAAAAAAATATCCTTGGGTGATGATTTAAAAAAATAACTATGTAAAATACTTAATACAGTGCCTGAATAGAGGTCAGTACTCAACAAATGTTGACTATTATAAACAGAAAAAGAATTGAAAAATTAAGATAGAAATTATTTACAGAACTAGCTAAAGAAAAACTATATATGATAGAAGTAGGGCAACTAAGCAAAATCTACAATATTGGATTTTTTTCAGGAGTTTTTTTCTTACGAATAAAACTCTGAGTATTAAATTGTCCTTTTAATGATCATCTATGAATACAACCTGCTTCAGACATGGAACCAGCCTTTAGGCAAATGAACACTATTTCATCAAATGTAAACTTTTTTTCTTGGATCTCAGGACAACAGAATTGGATTAATCCTAATCTTTGCTTGGGACACACTCTCCTCATTGGTTCCTCCCTCCCTCCTTGCCCTGCCTTCTTCCTAACTTGCTCCTTCTCCTAGGGAACCTTACAATATCAACATCTTGTTCTGAGTGGAAAAGAACCTTGGGATTCTCCTGCCCGTTTCCTCCTTCTCCTCCCAGGCAACTGCTCTTACTTGGGCTGAGTTTGAAATTTGAATAACCACTGAAAGTGACAGACTTGCCACATCTGGAGGAAAAAAACTGCTGTTTCTTTTGGTTTCTCCCAGAATTCCAAGGGTATCCCAAAAGCTCAAAGGAAGGGCGTGGTTTTGACTCAAACTTTGCCCTGTTTGCCAACCTCAGGGAGTCTGGGTTGAGTTAGGGGGAATGTAACAGAACCTGACAATAGACAAGTCTAATGTGGTTTGGAGTTTTATTATGAAACTTCTGTGTAGTTCTGCTTTTCACCCAGTTGTGTCATAAGAAAACAATCAAAACATTCATTTCAGTTTTTGCTAACCAATTTTTAGAATAATACAAATACATATTTAGTATTTAAATATTCTGTAACTAAAAAATTACCTTAAGATGTTGAAAATGTATTATGTGCTGATTCAGAAGTCAGTTTTAAACTATTTCCTTTAATTATAAGTATGATTGTATATATGTGTAACATATATATACACAATAGCATAGATATATAAAATATACATCTTAAAACAAAAACAGATATCGAGACTGTTAATTATTTTTATTATATAAGCAGCTTATATTCATTAAAGAAAAATTGGATAATATAAAAAATTAGAAAGAAGGAAAAGTTACGTATGGGGCAATTTCTCATTTCTTTTTAACAACAGACATTGTGCTAGGTGCTGAGAAAAATACACAGGTGACTAGGACATGGACTGTGCCTGTTAGGAGACAGATTAGAGATAAAATACAGGTATTTTAAATATTCATTGAAAGGTTATGTTTGTCCAAGCATCTTTGGTACGCCTGGATCTTCCTGTTACCTTTGACTCAGGCATGTCAAGGTCAGCCCTGTTTACACAGAGATCAAATGATTTGTGGGTGCCTGGGCGGTGTTATGATTTAACTTGAGGTCCAGTTCTCTTTAGACCGCATGTATCTGCACTTCATTCTTTAGAGAGGCAGCAGTTGGAAATAAATCTTTCCACTTGTTACATGGGCTGGAAGGACTGGGTAGATGAGTGATAAAAGGTGCAGTGTTGATAGTGCCCATTAAAGACAAAGAAACTACATTAAAATCGAGGGCATGGTATGTAGGGTATTAATGACTCATTCCAAATTTCCCAAGAAGGACAGCCACCAGAGCAGAACATTTTTCTAAAGTTATTTTGGATAAAATTTTGAAAAGAGGATTTTAATAAAATAGAGTTTAGCCAATCATTTTACAATTTTTAATAGGTGTGTTAAATCATATATTGATCATTTGTATAGTCAGGAGTAAAAAATAAACTGATTTTACTTGTGCTTCATTATGTGCTACTAAGAGTAAATATACATTGGTTTCACATAACTGTATTTCTAAAATTTCAAAATAATTATGCTGGGAACTATTCAAAAGAAGTAGAGTTGTGAGACCCTCTTCCTATGATCCTATGATCGTTTAATATAGCAAGGAACTAGAAGAAACATATTTTAGTTCTTAAGATGGTTGAGGCAGCTGGACACAAAGGAGAAACTTCTGTTGCCTAACGCTGGCTCTCTTCCACTGATTAAGCGAAACTAGACAGTTTCTAATTCTTCCTTGATGATGTTTTTTACAAACTTATATGCATATATCAAACTCCTAACAAAATTAACATTATATAATCTATTGCTTTCATTTATCCATCTGTCTACCATCCATTCGTCCAGTAAACATTTATTCTGTGCCTACTGTGAGGCAAAGTACTTTCCTGGATGGACACAGTATTTATTACCAAATGCCTCAATGGAAGAACAATTGCATGTCACTGAGATATGGGTTTCTATAATAAAATAAACTGCTATGGGAAACTTGGAGTTTATTTATAAAATAAATGAGCTTAACTATAAGGAGCAAGTAGCACTCCATTTTCAAAATTGAAGGTTGTTTGTTTCTTTGTTAATTAAAGAACACTCCTAAACTACCATGCAATTTTGAGTGGTGAGTCTCTATTACTAACAAACAAATGTAAAACTCTTCCCAAAGACAAGGAGCATCAGCAAGGATTATTTAAATCATTTATTTTATTATATGTGGAGTCATATTTTTTCCTTTGTTAGTTACAGAGATTGAGAAAAATTCTGGTGGCTATATTTTACATAGTCTACAGAAATCAGTTGTTCCCCAAACTGTATGTCTGGCTCTGAAGTCTCTCTTCAGAGTCCTGGTCATCTGTTATCCATCGCCAACTAGACGTTTTCCCAATAGTGCTCCACAGGCACAACACACTCAGTATGTATAAAGCTGAACTCGATGTTATCTTCCATAAACCCGGTCTTCTTGAAGTCCTTCTTGTAATTAATAGTACCACCATTGACCTAGTTTCTCAATCTAGAAATTGGATGCTCATCTAGAGCCTGTCTTTGCTGGCACTCATAGTTATTAGGTCATCAAGTACTGTTAATTTTATCTTCAGAATAGGTCTGGAATCTTCGCTGCATTACCAATGTCACTGCTATAGAGCCACTCACCTTTATCTTTCCTGGAATATTGCAAAGACCTCCAAAATGACCTTCCTGCTTCTGGTCTCTCAATATGTTAGTCCATTCTCTGTACTGCCATTAAAATTCTCTTTTTCTAATTTAAATATGTTTATGTCACTCTCCCTCTGAAAGTCTTTGTATAGATCCCCCTCATTAACCACAGGATTGAGTCCCATCACCTTGGCATGGCATAAGAACCTTTATAATCTGGTCCTAAAGGTTTTTTTTTCAGACTCATCTTTCCACAAGTATTATGTGCTTCTACCAAATGGGATTGCTCTCCTAACTATCCCATGCATGCTCTTTTTATATCTATGACGAATGAATATGCTATCTCTTTGTCTAGAATTCACTTCTCTATGTGGTAAACCCCTACTTATCTTTCAGGACTTACCTCAAATATCACCTTTTCTAAAGGTCATCTTTGAAGGCCTCTGGAAGAATTTGTACCTCCACAGTTTGTGCTTGGCTGTTCTTTTTGCCCTCTACATCCCCTCACTACCATTTTCCACCTGCCCTAAGTAGGACCTTGGGGACTGACCTCTTTGAACAACATTAACCAGGTTTTCCTACCCTCTGACTTTCTGGTGGATTTGAACAATGGGAGGCCCTGAAAGAAGTTCAGAGGGGAGAAGAGAGTAAGATTGTAGTAATATTTCCCTAACTCCCTTCCTCCTACGTCTTGGATTGGCAGGGGCTGCATCTCTTGAAAGAGTTCCTGTTGGGTAGATCTCCCTTATAGCTAGAGCTTTCTTTCTGAATTTTGGTTAAAGCTCCATTCCTTTGCCTGTTCAGGGAGTAATTTCTCATTGTTGATGCTTAGTTATTTCTAACTCTGCCTCCATCTTTGTAAATACATTCTTTATTAAACTCTCTTTAATCACTCCTTTTGAGTATGCCATCTATTTCCTGTCCTGACTGGTTCACTCCTATGGTACCGTTTAGATATCTCCTCAACTGTACTTAACATGTTGTTTTCCAATTATTTTTGCCTCCCCGTCCATTTCTTCTATTAAACTCCTTACAGTAGGTCTGAATCCAGGGCAAGGATCCTTGTGACTAGGTAGAAAAGCACCTGTCTACTCTAGGCTTTGCAAAGGCCAGCGTAGGACATGCAGGCGCCAGAGCAAGGAAGGATCTCTGGAATGTGCAGAACACCTGAGGAACATGGGAGTAATCTTTGAACTACCTGCCTGCCTTGATCAGTGGAGTCAATCTGATTGAAAGGGGAGCCTACACTTGAAAGGAAAACCAGAAAGCAGGACTGAAAAATCTGGCCCAACTAATTAAGTGGCTTTTTCAATCTCAGTCCAACTAGAACTAAAGTCTGAGATGCTTGGCCTGGCATTTTATATCCACTGATATCCAAGTTTTGTCCACTAAGGGGACCAAGAACTATGAGCTAAAGGGCAATGACTAAGATCTGTGTAAGATTTCTTAAACTTCTATAACTATTGGAGATGAGAGTTGGAGGATCTCAATAAACAGCA